GGGGGGGTTCCATGAAAATTACATCCTATCTCGTTTTACAAGGGATGTCGGGCTTGGTACGTACCTAGTACAGATTCGCTTGACTCGTGAAATGTCTGCACTCTCTTTACCGTGTGGATAAGCTCTCTAATTCAGAAAACAGCTCGAATGTTCACAGTACACGTGTAGTGAGCTTTATCTAGCATCCTAGTGCTTTCGAATTCAACGGATGCGATAGTCATTGGGCCATGCCTATTCAGTGGCAAATTGTGACCGAATTAACCCTCGGGAAAAAGTCGAGAAGAATTCAGTTCAAAATCCATGAAATGGCACCCCAAGGTTCAAAGTTCACGACGATTGTTGTTTGCGACGCATGCACTCTTATCACTCCGTTCATGTTGTCACATTTCAAGAGAAAGTGCTTCTGGGACACCCGATGGCAGACACGAGCCAAAGTGCAATTACTCTTAGATGAACAGTTTTATGTCATAAATCAGTAGTCGTTCACTCATTGTTTTTGTTCACAAAAACACATGAGGGCATCGCTAGGTCCGTGCCTATGGGCTGCAGTTGCAGGGACTGAAAGAAGCAATCTGTACACTTTGGGTCTGGATACTCCCGATGGTCGTACCGTTCATCTTGCGAGAGTAAAGGGGTCATTTGAACGTTCTAAGAGTTTTGTCATAACCATTGAAGGCAAAGTTCGATACCTCTCTTAAGATGCCATATGACCCTTTTATACAGCTGGAATGTAAAAGTTTTAGAGCAGGTGATCAAGCCAGGTTACCTACAAGCCCAACCCCAAAAGTTCTGTGTGATCAGCCGTATGGTGACAGGCAGATGATCAACTCCTAATAAACACAGTGTTAAGAGATCTCTACAGCTGCCGCAGAAAGTGTCCGGTTTCGGATATGATCAATCTTGCGAGATCTGAAATTGGTAACTTTACTTGATATATTTTGCCGAGATTAGATTGATTCACTGGACGCGACTATTGTTTCCCTCGAACTCAGAATCGTATGGAAGAGCATCACACTTCATGTGAGTTTCATGGGCTACTCCGCTCTCTGCCTAGAGAATTGAGGGTGTCGAGTAATTGTACAATTCCAGGCGACTTCGGTAATTTGACAAGGGAAAGGCAGGTCCCGTATCGGAGTGAGGGTGTCGATGGATGGGAATAGGTGTGCCATTTCCAAGACGCTAGCCTTTTTATAACTAACAGCGAACGCTCGACAGTGAAATGTTGTGCGGGAATGTGTATACCGGGGAGAGGTATTCATTGTAATTGGGCATCCTTTCTTTTTCTGGAAGCCCTATCGATGAGCGACATCAAATCAATCAAGGCTTATAGCGGTGGCTGAGTCATGTGGTGGTGTCACTTTGCTTGCGATCTCATCCAGTGCATAAGCAGTGTACTCTACAGGCATGTGTGTTTGTGTATACATAGTTTATGTAGTGAGCGTCTCTGGGTATGTCTGTCGAGGTGCAATCAAGTGACAGACAACAGCCAAGGTGTATAGTCAAGTTATATGTGGACTCTCTGGAAAGTGCCAAGTGCAAGAACGGGGAAGGGAGGGAGAGTAGTTTACCTATAATCTGGTCGATGAGTCCTAAGAAAATCCTGCAAACATAGGTGACTTTGTGTTAGTTCTACTCATGTTTCATGTTGAGTTACCTTGAGAAAAAAATGTTGCAAAGAAGTAAACAGAAACCAGTCAGGTGGCGAATGGGTTGCGGGAAGAATTACTTGGGGTGTCGATTGAACACATCGAAGAGAGGGGCAGATTTCTGCAAAACCACTCTGGTCAAACTCTGACTTACGCATATAGAACTCAGAAGCATTTTTCTTTTGAAAATCCATCCACACGTCCAAAGCGGGCATTATGTAACAATTAGGTAAGTCGGTTGTGGAAAATTGATGTCCTAAAATCTTGACATTATTTTCCAAAAAGTGTTAAATTTTTCTATATAAAATACTTTTTTGGAAAGGTTTTCTTAGAAAATACTCATCGATTTTCACGTAGCGAGTTTGATTCAGATCGAACTTCGTGGACGGCTGGGAACGTGGTGGAGCAGCGTTTGTAGTATATTTTAATGGTAAAAAAGTAGTGGACTTATGGGGAGGATATGCTGATAAGGAGTGTGGTCGACTCTGGAGAAAAGACACTTTGAATGTCGCTTTTTCCTCGACAAAAGTACGTTTGTTCTTCACTCTTTCGAATTCTTACCCAAATTTCCTATGTTTTTGTAACTTTATACAAGTTTCCCTTTTTCACGTTGATCATTTCCTATATGAGTGAGAACAGTGAGCATTTACTTGATTTAAGGCGGTAGCCGCTATTTGTGTGGCGCAGCTGGTCGACCAGGGCCGTTTAGCGTACGACGATTTGGTCACGAAATACTGGCCAGAATTTGGTAAACATGGTAAAGAAAACATCACCATCCGTTGGTTGTTAGGACATAGAGTAAGTTCATAAAATTATCTGTGCCTTGCATTGGATTTCTCACAAAAGGAAAATTGAGATTTCAGGCCGGTCTGGCTTACACCGACAAAAAAATCGAGTTTGAGATAGCCAATAATTGGAAAGCAATTGCTAAGGTTTTTGAAGAACAGGTAAATCACCCCGCTTTTACTTCTATGTCATTGTGGGCATCATTCCTACACATCAGGTACCGAATTGGCCCCCCGGAACGGAAGTAGGTTACCACGCGATAACCTATGGATGGCTTGTGGATCAGATTGTTCGTAGGACGGATCCGAAGCATCGCTCCATTGGTGTTTATTTCAAGGAGGAAATTGCAAAAAAGTACAGTGAGTGACTTGTTGAGAATGTGAATTTCCTACGCTTATTTGATTGTTCGTAGGACGGATCCGAAGCATCGCTCCATTGGTGTTTATTTTAAGGAGGAAATTGCAAAAAAGTACAGTGAGTGACTTGTTGAGAATGTGAATTTCCTACGCTTATTTGACTCAGTTGAACAAAATGGCATTACTGTCAGACTTGGATTTCTACATCGGTTTACCTCGCTGTGAATCTTCTCGTGTTTCTCGCCTGACTTCCCCGTCATCGTGGAACTTCATTCAAGAATATTTTTATAAGCCGAGCGACTTCAATGTTGGCAGGTGAGCGTACCATAGAGAAGTCTTTAGGCGTAAGTCAAACCCGTTTTTGGGATGCGCCCCAGCATCCGACTTCCATTCAAAATCGTAGCGGCGACTTAAACGGGCATGTGGCCCATACAATGACTTGTGAGCGGACGATGTAAAAGTCAATGCTTTTATCCTCTCAGATGAATCAGTACCTTGCATAACTGACCCTGAAGGGACAGAAGGGTTGGTGTCCCCGTTTGAATGTCGATCTATGATCCGATCCCCTGACCATTCGTGTGTGGTAGTGTGCCACTCATGTACTTCATCCTCTCTCCTCGCATCATACTCACTTTTTTAAACTCAAAATCCATGTCGAGAGAAGGATAGACGTGGACTAGTTTTATACGAAAAAATAACCGAGTCATCCTGATTTAGTAATGGAAAATTGTATGCGTATAAGGTTTATACAATGACTTTTCAGTAGGCTTCTGAAAATTTTACCATTTCCTCTTGCTCACCCGATTTACTGTTTCTGTAAAAGTGTTTCGAATAAGTTATTCGATGTGAGCTCTGATGGTCGTAGTTTAACAGAAACCTCGCTTCTCGGTCACTTTTTCAAGCCTCAGATGGCAGACTGGCTGACCCAGCTGAGTGACTAGCCGCTCGCATTGTCTTTAAAATTACTTTCGAAGGAAAGAGTTATGCTATGCTTGTGTAAGCAAAAACTGGATGCCCAAATCAGTTCAGTCCTAGAAAGTCATTTTTCTGCCCATGTAGTCCCACGTTAAGAAATGTAATATGGGCAGAAATATAAACTACGAAGTGTTCAGTTTGATGATAACCGGCGGCTTCCAGCGTTGCCATGTGGAGGGAGAAAAGTTGTAGGAAGGTTTTTTCAACGGAAGAACTTCAGAACAGGATTTTTTCTTTTTTATGAGAACCACACCTTTTCAGATTTGTCTATCACATGTTAACGGATGGTTTGCTCTCTAAAGTCGGTCATAATGTGCGCTGGATTGCTTTTGTTAAGGTGAATCGTTTGTTTTGTTCTCACGGTAGCAATAAATCGGGCGATTACCTCACTATAAGGGAAGTGCCCCGTCCATAAAAAAGACCCTTCTATTCGTTTAGGACATGACTCTGAACAATCCCGATTTATATGAGATCGAACAAGCAGCTGTTCTTGGTATTGGCACAGCTCGAGCCATGGCTGAGCTTTTTGAGAGGCTACGGTATTCGCTTTTTCCCCCATCTTTCAGTATGGACGAGAAATTTTCAAAAGCACGAGTTCCAGACTCGGAGAGTTAATGAGTGCAGAAGCGTTCAAGAAGCTAACAAGTGACTATGTCTTGAAGAGGGACATCGTCACTGGGGCATATGTTCCTCGTGGGCAAGGGCTGATGATCAAGCCTTTCCATCATAAAAATGTAAGGACTATTTAACGTAGTTGATGTACCGCTTGCCAATGTGACTCACTTCAGGAAACGTTTGAACTTCTCGGACATTCCGGATACGGTGGACAAAATGTACGAATAGATTTGAAGAACAACGTGACGTTTGCGTACATGAGCAATGCATTAAAGGTAAGACTTCTGGGGAGTATGGGGCTGCAAGGAGTTCCTCTCGGTCACAGCACCATCCTGAAGAAGTACTATTGTTTTGCAGGTCGGCTTCGGTGACACAGCCAGAACTTACGTGCGTTTACTTCATGCTCTTTACGATGTTGTGACAGCTTCACGGGCTTGAATTCGGGAGACTTCGGGTTGACTTCGATTAGTAACTTACCTCATAAGATTACTCTGTTAGTTCTTCTTCGTGGAACTCTAGTTTGTTTGTGATTTCTCTTTTTGATGTCTGTGTTAAAGATTAGGTTCAACGGGGATTGAAAGTACTGTTCTCCTGGTCTGGGCATGATACATTAACTGGCTACTGGCGTGGGCGAGATCCTTGCAACTGGTCAAGGTAGTACGGCGAAGTATTAGAGATGGTTGCTGCTGATCCATGCCCACCAACTCGGATGGCCACTTATATGATGGGGCTTTGCCAATTCTTGGACAAGAGACTCGGCTGGAACCTGTACGAATCATTTTTGTCTCTTCTCCATTATGAGAATATTGAAATTAACTGAGCTTAATCTGCCGACTGTCTCCTACGCTTGACTGGTGTTTATGTAGAGAGAGAGTTGAATTAGCCCACGTGCGGGTTGAGTTAATAGTAATCCAAGACGCTTTGGAAGTAAACTTATAGTGTGAAATTAGTTGATTCATGTCCGATTCTTTAATTGTGATTATATCGTACTCTTAGCTTTTGCTATAGATGTTCTGTTTGTGAATGAATATATGTTCATAATTTTAATCGAGTTCTCGAAAGGGTTGTAATATCGCTCAGTGAGTCAGACTCCTGCTCACAGAACAGGCATTAAGGGAGCGGGAGCTTTCTCAGACAAAATGAGCCATGGGTGCGTTAAGGGGCCAACAATTTGAGAAAATATTGAATAATATCACTTCCATCAGAAGCTTCTTTCGTAGTCCACGAATGGACCCGCGAGCGACTGGGGGAATACTTGTCCGGCGGTATCGCCCAAGGTTCAGTTGCAAACAAGGGACAAGCGCCGCCCCAGTCGTTCGCTCACTCGCGGGCCGAATCGTGGCCTATGAAAGCAGCCAAAGGCGCCGCAGTTAACGAAAAAAATGGTTACCGATACTGCCGAGCAGGAAGAACCTGTGGGTTTGTTGTACCCCATATGGGGTGCTGGGCTAAAAAATGTACTAGGCAGAATGCAATAAGCGCTCAGAGACCGGCTCTGTTTTTGTTAACACCTAGCGGCGTCGATATAGAGTCTGCGTCATCCACAATGGAGCACACATGTTGGGGATCCTAACAGCTAGTTGTGACCAATTACCAGTGGAAGGCAAATTTGAGCCCCGGCTGAGGCTCTTTACGTAACTGCTGGAGCTGAAATCTCGTCGAAATACTCATTCCAGTGCAGTTCCACCAAGATAACCTGAAAGGTTGAAGCACTTTCTATGCGAAATGGTGTGCTACTGACACAAAATGAACAGCGTATCAGCTGAGATCATGCATGTTATCACAGTAACAACAGCGAGAAGTCAGTTCTACAACAATAAGCGACATGGGTAAGGTTCACTTCACTCGGCTCACTCTACTAAACGGCCCGGCTTTCGTCAAGCCGAAGCCGGTGGCTACTGATCCTTGCTGTCAGTTTTCTGTTTGCTTCGGTTCTTCTGCCCCACAGACCTCAAACATCGCAGAGCAGTTTTGTTAGATTTGGTCATCGTGGTTGCCATAGCGTATCCCCGTAGCTACGGCGATGTTCATATGGGCCTTGGGGTCAATTTGCTTGCTCAACAGACATTTCACCTGGGCTTGTTTGGCCCCCTTCACATACACTTCTGAGCTTTCCTCATTGATGCGCAATGTTTGCTCGAGGTTATGATTCATGCAGTGTTTGCCTGATATGTCGCAATTTCAAGCGCTGACGCAAAACTTGTCCCACCTACACATTTCCTGATCCCATAGCTATTTACCATTGATTTTATAGATTTTCATCTCATCTGTATGAATGTGCTTTCAGATGTGGCTAGTGATACTATGGACCATCACAAAGTTGATCGTTGGAGCCACTTTGGTAGCAGTTTCATCGATAATTCTTATGTTCAAGCTGAAAGAACGAAAACGTCGCCCTGTCACAACTGATGGTCGTGTTCATGAACTGTTTTATCCGGTTCTTGACGTCTTCAGGTAGTCTTTGCCAAATTCTATCAAATCCTTCACCAAAATGCAGAACACCCATCCCCTCTCGAGACACTCCAACTGCTAGATCTAGAAGTTTCTAAGAAAATGAGGAACACTTCCTGATAAAATCGTTATGTCTATTGTCGAGCTTGATAGGTGATAGCGCATGTTTGCTAGAAACCAGTCATTTCTCGGTTGAAAGTGTGGACATTGGTCGACTTTAACGCGGCATAAGCACAAGTTGTGCCAAAAATCTCCGATAGTTGACTAACACGCAGTATGGCGCCCACCAAACGATTTTAACGCACCCTCAAAAGGGCCATTCCTTACTTCTCCAACTAATGTGGAAGCGTTCGAGTTAGGGGACCGTTTTCCCACCGATAATGAAATTGTGATGTAACTGTAGACCATTACGCCTATGACTGCTCAACTGTGGTCATCTTCTACTGCATTACTAGTTGTAGATGCTGCAACAGTTATGTAAATGCACCTAATTGCCTTTCTTTTTTATAGATATCCACTATAGGCTCATTGGAGTGATGGGTGATTAGGTTTGGTTTTTGTTATTGGTTCCGGTATGGAAGGGCAGCTGTAGGGGCTGTGCTGTTAGGGGTAGAGGAAAGTGAACATTGCTCTTCTCCTATACTGCTCTGGCTATCAATCCTTATCACTTTCTAGCACATGCTATCAATTTCCCCACCATACGGCCTTTATCCTTTGATAGCTTTCTGCGATCACATAATATAGAGATCGAAAGTTTCTATTAAATGCTAACGGTCTCAATCAGTCGTTATCACTGTCATCAGTTCTTTCAAAAACACACATACAAACAAACATACAGACAGAGAGACAGATCGTCAAACGACACTAGGTTACTGCTTTATATATGAAGCCATTTCCTACTTTACTCCCTATAACCGGCCTTTATCAGTCGATAATTACTTCACACCAGGCGGGTGGTGAAGTGCCAAGTGGCGCATTATCATAAGCTCGATAGTGGGATCGAATTGATACCGGTCTTGGGAAACCAAGCTTCCATCTTTACGAGTTCGAATGATTTGTGGCAGACTCGTCTGCGAGCTTAAAAATACCAGATTCTACGTCGACTGGCCGCCATAATTCATTGCGTAAGCCACAAAACTATGATTTTGAATGGAAACCGAATGAGGGGACGGATCCCAAAAAGAGCTAAAACAAGGCCTGAGTTTTTACACTTTATCCTTTAACCACTCCCTACAGCAGACCATCAGTGACCCCGTTCTAGCCCTCCTACCAAAACGACGTGCTTCTTTCAGAAACAATTTTCGTCGTGGATGGGAACGTGATGGTGCAGCTTTATGCGTTTACTATCAGGTAGGTATGCAGCTGCGATGGCAGGGGCATGTGGGAGATTCGAAAGTCTAGGAGCGAGATTTCAAATCTGAAAGTCCTATCACTATCACTATCACGGTCACTAAGACTATCACTATCACTGTCCCTCTGAGTTCCTTTACTCAAGAATCTTATCACTGTTGAGGTCGAACGCCTTCTGTTTAGGGCCAGTGTGTAGTTGACATTTGGGGAGGGTTTGCTGATCGAGAATCTGAGCGTCGTTGGAGAGAAGACACTTTGCAGATTATCTTCAGTACCTCAAAAGTACGGTCTCTTGCTTTCAGTTCACCAGTTCCGCTCATCATTAACTAAACTTTCCATTTCTCCCTTTCAGGCAGTTGGTGCAATTTGCGTAGCAATGTTAGTTGATCGTGGTCGTCTTAGGTATTCGGACAAAATGTCACTTTTTTGGCCTGAATTCGCCAAAAATGGGAAAGAGAACATCACCGTTGAGATGATACTGACTCACACGGTGCGTTTCGTTTTCAAAAAAAATCCCAGTAAAAACCAATTGAGACATTTTCAGTCTGGGTTGGCCTATCTCGACGGCAAGATCTCGTACGAAGACGCAGCAGATCCGGAGCGAATGGCCAAGTTGATAGAGGATTCTGTAAGTCGAGCTACCTTTACGAGCGCTAGACTTGAAAGATGCGCTTCTTGCAGAGACCAATCTGGGAACCTGGTAAAGACGTCGGCTACCATGCGCTATCCTATGGGTGGTTGATTGACCAGATTATCCGGCGGACAGACCTCAAAAAGAGAGGAATCGGCCAGTTCTTTAAGGAAGAGATCGCCGACAAACACGGTTTGCCTTCTTTGGAGCGGCGAGTACAGTTCAATATCACAACTGAGGATAGATAAATGCCTGCTTTCAGGGTTGGATTTACATTTTGGCTTGCCAATGGAGAAGGCATGGCGTGTAGCCAGAATTACGCGTCCCACAGTTATCGACCGAATCGATGAGTTCATTACCGATCCAGGTGAGTCTAATCAATAGCTACTTTTCAGTGAGATTCTAAAGTACATACACACAAATTCACTATTGGAACTCGGTGGCTACCCCTCGAAAGCGATACAAGTCTTTTTCTTTATTTGTTGGTGAATAGTCTAGGCGCTACGCCTTTCGGGTATGGTACAGTTGGATCGAAATGGCCGCTCCGCGGAAAGAGCAACGTCGCGCACAATGGAATGTAGTAGAAGAAGCGCAGCGAGCGAGGAATACGGGAACAAAAGAAGTAACAGTAGCATCATGCCAAAAATAATGGCATGTCGATCGAGCGGTATGAAGAACCCTAGATCTGGCATATCGAGGCAACTAGTCCGTGACTGCCGCGTGCGGCAAATCGATCACATAAAACCGATTCAATGCCCGACTTCAGCGCCATTCGATCGACTCGTTATGGCGTTGCCGACAGAAAGCGAGAGGACATCACAAGGCAATATTTTGTTTACGACTTTACCACCACTGTAGTCAATCCCCGTTGGGACATCATTGTCACCTTCACTGATTGCATAAGCGTCTTCCAACGTTCCTATCGCAACTCTAGCGTACTTCGCCGTAACTTTCCTGCTCCTATTCGACTATTCTATACTAGCTACCATAGCAGCCGATCTGCCCCAAAGAACACCATGATGTGTCATTCGCATCGCCCCCGTGGAATGGAGTATAGATGCCAAAGATATTGCAAGAGAACGGAATTTCTACAATCTTATTAGGCCTTAAAAGCAGCGGTACCTTTAGGACACTGCATAGGAAACCGGGCTCGCGAAGGTATAAGGTTTAGACCTGAGCGATTCTGTAACTTTGAAATATATCCAATACACCAAAGTTTCCAAGTATAGCTCCGTATTGTCACTCACTCTGCTTCAGCGCTTCAAATATAGCATTCAGATAATCTTGATTACGGATTTATCCTCAAACAGTACCTACGAGGTGGGCTTGGTATGAAGGTAGCAACGAATCCATCATGGCTGCAAACAGTCTTTGTGAGTAACTCTTGCAGAAAGTCGCTCTTAAGACACCAATAAACCTGTTGTCTTTTCAGAAAATTACCCTCAACAACCCAGAGTTGTACGCATTGGAGCAGCCGGCTATTCTTGGCATTGGAACGGCTCGTGATATGGCAAAACTAGCTCAGCTCCTTATAGATGGCAAGCTCATCAGTAGGGTAACTGAGTTTTCCATGTTGCTGATCAAAGCCATTGTCTCGCATCAACCAAAAACTCCTCATCATTCAGCCTACGATGAACCTTCTTAATGAAAAGCTCGTCGTCAAGAAGGACATAGTCACGGGTGCACATGCGGAAAGATGTCGTGGCACGACCGTCATGCACTTGAAGAGGAATGGAGTCAGTTTCAAACATTCTCAGTAGAAATTCTCGAGATTCCAACAGCTTCGATCCTGCAGGTCGATCATCGTCTTATCGGTCATACGGGTCTCGGTGGTCAGAATTTGAGGTGGGATGAAGAAAACAGATTGGTGATCGCTTTCTTGAGCAATGGTTTGAAGGTGCTCAGTCAAATTTCATTTTTCTGGTATCTTTGGGGGAGAAGTAAATGTCAGAAGGATATTAATACACTTTCAGGGAGGTCTTGGCGATCGTGCCAGGACCTACGTCCGTCTGGTGGAAACCATTTACGACTGTCTACCGAAAGCTACCGAAACATCTGAATGTGATAAATCGACGAAAAATATGACTATTGATCAGAATCGTATGGTGTCAGCACGAGCTTCGATACGAACGTCATGACCACGGCTCATGTCCATTTTAGTAATTCTGTAACAAAATTCTACCTCAATTCTAGACTGCAAACGAAATTTCATAGATGAAGACCGTATGCTTTTATAAGTGAATGCCCACGATTTTGCTCATGCTTGAAGTGTGCCTTTCCTGTTTATTTTTATGATTGTCTCAGATGGATCTCAGCCTTATTGTGGTACGCTTTGAGTTAAAATAAGTGCTTTGGGCACCCAAAGTGATCAGTGGTTCACATTTTAATTGTATTTCATACGGGTATTGAATGTGGATCTGATCGAAAGCATAATAAAGAGTATGTATTAAGTGTAATCTCGTTGTGCCGACGAAGGGAAATCCTTACTCCATCGAGACCGGGATTTCTCCCATTCGGTTAGGCCGATCTCACTGTTCCTACAGCTGGAGCAGAATCCATATCGCAGTACTAAAAATTTTCCCATCTTAATACTTGATGTTATATGTTTTCGATGACGTTCTTGTTGAAAGCAGTAGTTCTTTCCGGAATATGAGAAGATAGTTGTTTCGAGTAAATCGTTCAGTCGACAAACAAATTCTATGAAAGCGGGGGCTGGTGTACTGGCAAGTAGCGCGCTGCCACAAACGCATGTTCACAGGTTCGAATCCCGCATCGATATCCGCCAAGTCCGACCGAGTCTCCCATCCATCCGGTCGCTTAATTGGCACCGGACTCATCTAGGTGGAACAGAGCACTTTTACTTCAGCTGGTCATCGCAAGTCATTGTAAGTCATTTACGCATTCAAAACGCCACTACGATTCAGCATGGAAGTTGAATGCGAGGGCGTATCCAACGATTAAAATCAGAGCTTGCATCATTTGCAAAGTTCAGTCTCCAACCATTATCAGTGCAGCAGTTCAATCAACAGCAAAGGTAAACGGCTGTAAATGACTAAGAAAAAGGCTATTAGTTCAATCATTCAAGTGATTTTGCTGACCAGAACGAGGAAATAGTTTAGTACGTATTATGCTAATAGGTATTACAAATAGGTTAACTGTTACTGGTAATCAATCGATTGACGACAGAATGCCGTTCTCTCGCATGATTTATTGACCCTCTGCGACATCTAATTGATTGACGCATATCAATAGCTTGCGCCTGTCCATACGTTAATGATTGCTCTTCTACTATTTTCGCTCTTTCATCCATCATTTTTCAGCTCATCAAAATTTGCTTAATAACTTGTTGGTCAATACTTTCATGGCCTGAAAACACAGAAAACAGGAATGGTTCCACCACACCTCGCCACCTCCCCCTCCCCCCTCCTCCCTCTAGTCCTCCTTTTTTCATCACTCTTTTTTTTATTTGTTATTCAGCTTTTACCCGATGATAATTGATGGACTATCGGTTATCACCAAGGCAAATCTCTTAGTTACTACTTCCCAAGTCACTGCTATTTCCTGTTCCCATTTCCAAGTCACTGCTTAGAGTAGGCTAATGATAAAGTTTGATCTGCGAAGATGTTGAACAACTGTAGTGACAGACATTTCAGCACAGATATGGCAATGCTCGCTTACTTCATGGGTCCCGTTCAAGATCAAAGAGATGAGTGCCGACTAGATCCGAGTCGGAATGCCACACCGGAAGATTTGAACAAAATTGGAGTAAAGCTTTGCACAGTAAGCTTCTTTCATTGCAACAGTTATGGGGACAAAACAACGCTTTTCTGAAAATCTTTTAATCCCAGAAGGTTTATATTGTTCTCCAGGATGAGTGGATCCGTTTTCCCAGATGCTTACTTTGATCTCTTTCACTAAATGTAAAGACTTTTTTCCCTCAGCATACAGTCAGAGTAGCCCAGTGCATCGTCCTCCCGTCCTCCCTCGTGAGACACGAACCATAGCACTCTTTTCGTGAGTAGCCGTTCCATTTTTGTCAAGGGGTACGAATAACACTCCTTCGCCTCTAGAACTTATAATAGAAACATAGACCTACTTATTCATGGCGCATCTATCTTGCTTCTTTCAAATNCAGACTTGGATTTTTACATCGGTTTGCCTCGCTGTGAATCTTCTCGTGTATCTCGCCTGACTTCCCCGTCATCGTGGAACTTCATTCA